TCTTTATAACCAAATCACTGTGCTGTACGCCTGAAATGAACACAACATTTAAATCAACTATATTTCAATAAAAAAAGGAAAAGAGAAAAAAAGGGCTTCCTGCCTTTCTCTCTCTCTCTTTTTTGAAGTACAGTTAACTTACAATGTTGTATTCATTTCAGGGTGATTCAGTTATACATATACTTGTATCCACTCTTTTTTAGATTCTTTTCCCATATAGGTCATTACAGGGTATTAAGTAGAGTTCCCTGTGCTATAGTATACTGCAGGTCCTTGTTGGTTGTCTATTTCATATACAGTAGCATGTATGTTAGGACTCAGTGACACCAGCAGGTTGAAATTCTACCCTTGGCCGCTGTTATTCATGCCTGTAGCTGCACCCTGGGGAAGGGGTGGAGTTGGTGAATGGACCACTGGGCTTAGTGTCAGGAGACTGGGTCCAGTTCAGCTACGTGTTCGTCCTGTGGTCTAGAAAGCTGTTTGTTTTCTCCTAGGGCTGGTTGTCATGTGGGGACCTGCCATCGAGGTGTGGAGATGTGGAGAGGTTCGAGTGAGGATGAAAGTGAAAGTGCAAGTGTTAGTTGTTTAGTCGTGTCCAACTCTTTGTGACCCCACAAACTGTAGCCTGCCAGACTCCTCTGTCCATGGGATTCTCCAGACAAGAATACTTGAGTGGGTAGCCATTCCCTTCTCCAGGGAATCTTCCTGACCCAGGGATCAAACCTGGGTCTCCTGCATTGCAGGCAGATTCTTTACCATCTAAGCCACCGGGGAAGCCCTGGTTGAGTAAGGATGGTGACTGGTAACTGAAGACCAACCATATGCAAGTGTGAGGTTGGGTCTGAGGCTGTGGCATGAAGAGTTGAGTAGGACTAGTCTGGTCTGGCTAATCATAGACTTTCAGTAAGTTAGAGCTGGATGGGAATGGAGCAAATATTTACTCTAGCCCTTCCACTAGACAGATAAGTAAACTCAATCTTAGGGATAGAGAATCACTGGAAGGGTTTTCTTGGGCCATTTGAATAGCCTCAGAGGCCCCTAGAGAGACTCTGTACTCTGTAGCCATACCACATCCCACCCAGTGAGAGGCTTCTAGGGTCCCAGGGTGTCTTAACAATTCCTAGATGGGGAGCACCTCACCAGACCAAGGCCATGGAGAGTCTTGCCTGTTCAAATAGTAGAATGGATGATCTGAAAGACAGACGTAGGACTAACCCTGCATGATGAACAAAGGCCAAGGGCATGATCAAGGCAAGAACCAGAGGGTTTTTTTATTTTTAAATGTTTTCTTTAAAACAATTTTACGGAAGTATAGTTTTATTGAAGTGATTTACAATGTTGTGTTATTTTCAGGTGTAGGGCAAAGTCATTAAGTTGTACATATACTCATTCTTTTTCAGATTCTTTCCTCATAAAGGTTATCACAGAACATTGAATAGTGTTCTCTGTGCTATACAGTAGGTTATTGTTGGCTTTCTGTCTTACATTTAGTGGTGTGTCTCTATTAAACTGAAGCTCCTGATTTATCCCATCCCCCCTACATTTTCCCTTTGGTAGCCATAAATTTGTTTTCAGTAAGTCTTTTCTGTTTTGTAAATAAGTTCCTTTGTATACTTTTAAAAATTGGGTTCCACTGATGAGTGATATCATATGATAACATCTTTCTCTATCCGACTTCCTTCACTTAGTAAGATCTTCTCTGGTCCCATCTATGTTGCTGCAAATGGCGTTATTTCATTCTTTTTCATGGCCAAGTAATATTCCATTGTATTTATGGACCACATCTTCTCTATCCATTCCGACTGGCAGAAAGTTCTACTGTTCCCACTCATTGAGAAAAGTCCCTTGACCTTAGGAACATAGGTAAGCTCCGTCACCTCTTCCACATCCCACAGAATCAAACACGCCTGTTCGCTGAGGTCCCTCTTGGGTGGGCAGGGCCAGGAGAAGCTGTGACTCATGGCTGCTTCCTCGAGGGCTCTTTCTTCACAGAAAATTGCTCTGATGGAGAATCGTAGGTGTGGACGGGAGTAACGTTAAAGGCTTCAGCTTTATAGGGCATGAATAAAGGTTGATGCATGATGCCGACTAACAAAATAAGGGGCCAGGTAAGCTCTCGACCGCACCCAGAGAGGCCTTGACTTGCTCTCTGGGGCCAGGGCTGCTAGTTCACACAAAGTGGAGAAGGCAGAACATGGGACAAAGGAGAAACCCAGGCTCCAGTCTAGGAGAACACAGCCCTCTTCTTTCCAGAGATTTGCATGCAGGCGGGGCCCAGGGCAATCTTTGCTTTGAGACAACAAACCTCTGCAACTCCAATCACACAGGGACGACGGAGGAGGGACAGCTGGGTCCTTGCTACCTCTGGAATGTTAGAAACACTGCCTGGGGAAGTGAAACAGTCTCCCACGCTCTCCTGTGCTCCATCTCCCCCTTCCTTCAAAACCTGCCAGGCTCGTGATCCACTCTAGCAAGAACTCTGTACTCGCTCTCTTTTCCTTGACACTGGTGATGCGGTGAAACTTACAGAGTAAATGGCAGCAGGGCAGGGGTTCTAGCGTCTTCACTGGGGGAAGTGCGTCTCTCTGTTTCTTTGGTCCCCTGGATGTAGCGTGGGCCTGATGCAGAAAGACGGAGAAATGCCGGTGGCAGGTGGCAGGGGAGACCAGGGTTCAGGAGGTGTGGGCATCATCTGCGCATTTGCTGGGAACCTGGGCACCCAAGAGATCTGGTGCAGAGGGTTCTGAGGTCTGTTGCACGGAACAGACTGTGACAGGGATGGTTGGGCTCTTTCCAGAAGCAGGTCTCGTAAGGGTTTGGACTTTCTCTAGAGCTTTTCCTAAAGGACTGCCTGCAGCTCCTGCAGTGAGGGGGTACCCCATGATCCTCTGAACTGAGTCCATTCGGGGAGCTGAGTCAGAGGGAACGGCATTGCTCACCCTGGAGTGTGGCCAGGGCACAAGGGAGACTTTTCTAAAAATAAGCCATTCATGTTTGGACGCCATGCTTCTGTTTCCACAGCAACCAGGCATGTAGCGCCAGGCTAATGCCCTGTGACACTCTGTGCTGGTGGAGGCCAGGACTGGGTTGGGAAGGAGGTTCTCTGGCCTCTTTTTCTGCCGAGCTGGGTGTGATGGACGGACCCCATGGAATATGCTCAGGCCTGAGCCCCTCCAAGGTTATCAGTGGGGTCTGCTCTCCCCAGGGGCTGTCTCTGGGCCTCTCCGGGGCTCCCCGCCTCCCAGAAGCCAGGCTGACCCATGGCACAGGCTGCACCGAACCCCGACACTCCTTTCAGCTATCAGTGGGGGTGGGGGAGGCAAGCAGCTTTACCCAAGATGAAAAAACACTACTATTAGTTTTTAAATGAAAAAGTAAGGTGTATTCATTATTTTTTTTTTAAATCAAGCATAAAAATAAAAGCTGAAAGAAGAAATTAAGACATCACCTATTATCTTCCTCTTTCTATAACTTTCTAGAGGAAATGTATGTATTTTTCTACACAAATATGCACATTTAGTTGAATATATTTTCCTTTTATAAGAATGGGATGAAATCAACCTTTGCCAACTGATTTTCTTACTTAGTCATATAACAATTTTCCAGAGCCATAATTATAGATTTATGCAGTCATTTTAACAGTTGCATATAACTGCATATAGAAGAATGATAATTTAACCTAGGGGTCAGCAAAATTTCTGGAAAGGACTGGACAATAAATATTTTGGTTTTGTGGACCAGATGGGCTCTGTTGCAACTACTCAAGTCTGCATTTAGGGCTCCCAAGTGGTCAAAGATAACGTGTAAAATATGTAAATGAAGTGGCTATATTCCAATAAAACTTTATTGACAAAAACAGTCAGGTCCTGGGCTAGTTTTGGTGTGTGCATGCATGCACGCACATATATGCACACAAAATACAGAGTTAGATATATATGTGTTCACACACACACACACACACACACAGACAGACATATACATACACATACAAACCTAGATAGTGTGTTGAAAAGCGGAGACATCACTCTGCCGACACAGGTCCATATATAGTCAAGGCTACATGGTCTTCCCAGTGGTGTGAGAGCTGGACTGTAAAGAAGGCAGAACGCAAAATAATTGATGCCTTTGAATTGTGGTGCTGGAGAAGACCCCTGAAAGTCCCTTGGATAGCAAGGAGATCAAACCAGTCAATCTTAAAGGGAAATCAACCCTGAATACTCATTGGCAGGACTGATGCTAAAGCTGAAGCTCCAGTATTTTGGTCATCTGATGTAAATAGCAGACTCATTGGAAAAGTCCCTAATGCTGGATGGCATCACTGATGCAATGGACATGAACTTGGGCAAACTTAGGGAGATGGTGAGGGACAGGGAGGCCTGGCGTGCTGTAGTCCTTGGGGTCGCAAAGAGTAGGACACGACTGGGTGACTGAACAACAGTATATACACATACATGCCTGTGTGTGGATGTACATGTGCATACATGTGTCCACGCACACGTACAAAGTGTGCATGTATATGGCCACATGCATGTGTGTGCACACACCTACATGTACTGCACATGCATGTACATACGTGATAGTGTACATGTGTACATGAAAGCATATGCCTGTGTGTACACAAAAACATAGTTCTCCTATTTGCAGGGCAGGACTAGAGACACAGGCACAGAGAACAGACTTGTGGACACAGCGGGGGAAGAAATTGGGACAAAATTGAGAGAATAGCATTGAAACATATACATTACCATATATAAAATAGATGGCTAGTGGGAAGATTCTGCATAACACAGGGAGCTCAACCAGGTGCTCCGTTAGGACCTAGAGGGGTGGGATGGGGTGTGGGTGGGCAGGAAGCTCAAGAGAGAAGGGATATATATATATATAGCTGAATCACAGAGTTGTACGGCAGAAACCTAAACAACATTGTAAAGAAATCACCCTCCAATTGAAAATAAATAATAAATAAATTAATTAATTAAAAACCATAGTTCTCTAGATGTATGATCAACAGGCATGAGACGCGCATGCCAATCCCTGTGCATCTGTTCTCCGTCCAACACACCCGTGATGACCTGGGACATGGGACAGGCGTCCACGGGACGTGGACAGGAGTGGGGCTGAGACCAGAAAAGGGATGCGGGCTGAAGGGGTCTTTGTCTATGGCTCGGCTCGCCTGGGGAACTGGTGGGCCCGGCTTTGAAGGCTTCCAGGGCCCATTCCAGATAAAACTCGTGGTCCCGGGAGGAAGAAAGGCAGAGCAGGGACAGCACATGCAGACGGAGGAGCAGGTGGCCTTGGGCCCACCCCGTGGCTCCCACGCTGGGAGTGGGAAGAGCTGGGGCTGGGGGCTGGGGACGAGGCTACAGAGAGGCAGGGCCAACACAGGGGGCTCATGTCTCGGAAAGGTGTTGTCTGAGCAAGCGCACACCTCAGTCCGTTTTCTGGGCCTGTGGAAGGGCCCCCAGAGGCAGGCCGGTAGCACAGCTCTTGAAGAGCCCTCCAAATGAGGCAGTAAGATTGAGCGGCAGCGACTTAACCTGGAGTTAATCTCAGCATCTGCAGGTGCTGTGTAGAGAAACAGAGGATGCTGACACAGGGCCACGCTCTGAAGGGAAGCAGCCCTTTGGAGAGTGGATTCAATGGGTGCCCTCTTGCTCCAGGGGAGAGGTGACGGGGCACATGGGTAGAAGATGCTGAAGCCACCCTAGGTGGCACCAGGCATGAAGGGGAGGAAGCTGGTCCATGATGATGGGTGTGCTTTCCCTCATTTACTCAATGAATCAGGTGTCTGAGGAATGGCGGTGTCTGAGTCTGAAGCTCTGGGGGTGTGGTTGAGGCTGGAGAGGCAAACTTGAGTATCATCAGGGAGATATGACATTTAAGACCCCAGAGTGAAAGCATTTGGCCCCAAGTTTGCTCCCAAGGCTCATTTGAGGGCTTCTGCTACAAAGGCAAGCTGATCAACATTGCTAATCATCAGGGAAATGCAAATCAAACCCACAATGAGATATTACCTCACACCTGTCAGAATAGCTATCATCAAAAAAGACTGCAAATAACAAATGTTGTCAAGGGGCAGGAGAAATGGGAACCCTTGTAGGCAGCTGATGTGAGTGTAAATTGGTGTAGCCACTGTGAAGAACTGTATGGACGGTGCTCAAACAACTGAAAAAATAGAACTACCATATGATCCAGCAATTCCACTGCTGGGGACATATCTGAAAAGAAAAAAAGATTGGAAAAGATACATGGACCTCAGTGTTCATAGCAGCATTACTTACAGTGGGCAAGACATGTAAGCAACCAAGTACCCATCAACAGATAAGTGGATTAAGAAGAAATGGTAGAGATACAACAATGGAATATTACTCAACCATGAAACAGAATGAAATACCACCAACAGTGGCAATGTAGATGGATCCAGAGAATATTATGCTTGGAGAAATAAATTAGAGATACATATTCTATTTTATCACTTATATGTGGGATCTAAAAAATAAAACAAATGAATAAGACAGGAACAGACTCACAGATATAGAGAATGAACTAGTGGTTACCAGTGGGGAGAGAGAAAATAGGAGGGACAAAAAGCAGTAAGGGATTAAGATTTACAAATTAGTATGTATTAAATAAGCATCAAGGATATAATGTACAGCACAGGGAAATATAGCCATCAATTTGTAATAACTTTAAATGGAGATGGTGAAGGACAGAGAAGTTAGTGTGTTGCAGTTCATGGCATTGCAAAGAGCTGGACACGACTGAGCAACTGAACAACAACTTTAAATGGAGTATAATCTGTAAAAATATTGAATCGCTATGTTGTATACCTGAAACTAATACAGTATTGTTCATCAACCATACTTAAATTGAAAAAAAAAGGGAAAGCAGAGAAATGCTTTCTCCAAGGCTCCAGACCCCACCTACCTGCCCAGGACTCAGCAGCATGCACTGCCTGTCTGGGGGTGGGGGCGCTGGGGCTCCCCTCGCTGCTCCACCCATGCTCACAACCTCGGCTGTCTCTGCACTTATCACCCTGTTTTGGGACTGCTCCTGAAAATGCCTGCATCTTGCAACCCCCACTGCCCAGGGCACTGGGAGGGATCAGGATTCGGGGTGATGAGCCAGAAGGGAGCACAGCCATGGAGGGGCTCTGTGAACATGCTTTAAATAAATGAATGCCAAGTCCTCCTGGACTGTTTTTGTCTGACATGGCACTGGTTTCAGAACCCATTTTAGAAAATCAGTCCTGGCATGCTCCCATCTCTCCACAGACCGACGTCAGTTTTGTCTCTTGTTTGTTCAACACTGTAATCTGGAGATACGTCACCAGGAATTTTAAGCAGACCCTATGAGCTGTGTAACCTTAAGCAAGCTATGGAACCCCCATGACCCTTGGTTTTTCCATCAGTCAAGGAGCCGCTCTTTTTCTGCCTCATGGAAATGTGGTATCTCCTGCTCAGTTCTGAAGCAGAAACACATGTGTGTGGATTCACAAATCTATATGGGCTACAAATTAAAGGCACAATCAATGAGTTTCTCAGAGAAGAGCTGGTTAGTATGTGTATGTGGAGGGGGCAGATTTAATCTCTCAATAGTCTTTATTCAGAATTGTGAATTAAAAAAATTTTTAGTGAAGTGTATGTTTAAGTTGTGGCTCAGATGGTAAGGAATCTGTCTCCGAGGCAGGAGACCTGGGTTCAATCCCTGGGTTGGGAAGATCCTCTGGAGGAGGGATGGCAACCCACTTTAGTATTCTTGCCTGGGAATTCCCATGGACAGTGAAGCCTGGCAGGTCTATGGGGTTGCAAACAGTTGGACATGACTGAGCAACTTTCACATGCTTCAGTTCAGTTCAGTTCAGTTGCTCAGTCGTGTCCAACTCTTTGCGACCCCATGAAACGCAGCACGCCAGGCCTCCCTGTCCATCACCAACTCCTGGAGTTTACTCAAACCCATGTCCATCGAGTCGGTGATGCCATCCAACCATCTCATCCTCTGTCGTCCCCTTCTCCTCCTGCCCTCAATCCCTCCCAGCATCAGGGTCTTTTCCAGTGAGTCAACTCTTCGCATGAGGTGGCCAAAGTATTGGAGTTTCAGCTTCAGCATCAGTCCTTCCAATGAACACCCAGGACTGATCTTTAGGATGGACTAGTTGGATCTCCTTGCATCCAAGGGACTCTCAAGAGTCTTCTCCAACACCACAGTTCAAAATCATCAATTCTTCAGTGCTCAGCTTTCTTCACAGTCCAACTCTCACATCCATACATGACTACCAGAAAAACCATAGTCTTGACTAGACGGACCTTTTTTTTTCACATGCTTAGGTTGTGGCAAAATATACATAACATAAAATTTACCATCTTAGCCATTTCTCTTTTTTTGGGGGGTTTGCTGACTTTTTAAATTGAAATATAGTTGATTTACAAAGTTGCATTAATTTCTGTTGTTCAGCAAAGTGATCCAGCTTTATATATATATATACACACACACATATATATATATATACACATATACGTATATATATACATATACATATACACACACACACACATACATACATATATTCTTTTTATATTTTTTCCACTATGGTTTATCTCAGGATATTGAATATAGCTCCCTGTGCTACACAGTAGGGCCTTGTTTACCCATCCTATACAATACCGATTTGCATCTGCTAATCCCAACCTCCTACTCCATTGCTCCCCCAGCCTCTTCCCCCTTGGTAGCCTGTTCTCTATGTCTCTGAGTCTCTTTCTGTTTCATAGATAGGTTCATTTTTGTCCTATTTTATTTTTTTTCCATTTATTTTTATTAGTTGGAGGCTAATTACTTTACATCATTGCAGTGGTTTTTGTCATACATTGAAATGAATTAGCCATGGATTTACATGTATTCCCCATCGTGGTCCCCCCTCCCACCTCCCTCTCCACCCCATCCCTCTGGGTCTTCCCAGTGCACCAGGCCCGAGCACTTGTCTCATGCACCCAACCTGGGCTGGTGATCTGTTTCACCCTAGATAATATACATGTTTTGATGCTGTTCTCTTGAAACATCCCACCCTCGCCTTCTCCCAGAGTCCACAAGTCTGTTCTATACATCTGAGTCTCTTTTTCTGTTTTGCATATAGGGTTATCGTGACCATCTTTCTAAATACCATGTATATGTGTTAGTATACTGTAATGATCTTTATCTTTCTGGCTTACTTCACTCTGTATAATGGGCTCCAGTTTCATCCATCTCATTAGAACTGATTCAAATGAATTCTTTTTAATGGCTGAGTAATACTCCATGGTGTATATGTACCACAGCTTCCTCATCCATTCATCTGCTGATGGGCATCTAGGTTGCTTCCATCATTTTTGTCCTATTTTAGATTTCTACATATAGTGATATCATATGGTATTTGTTGTGCTCTGACTTTACTCACTATGATAATCTCGAGTTGCATCTATGTTGCTGAAAATGGTATGATTTTGTTCTCCATCTTAGCCTTTTCTAAGTGTACAGTTCAGTGGCTTTAAGTCTGCCCACATTGTTGTGCAAACTTTATCATCATCCATCTCCAGGACTATTTCATCATCCCCAAATGAAACTCTTATTAACTTGGTATTCCTCCCTCCTTACCCCTCAGTCCCTGGGACCCCCATCCTGCTTTCTACCTCTATGTAACTGACTCCTCTAGGGACCTTGAGGACTCAGACAGTACTTGTTCTTCTGTTGACTGGTTTAGTTCATGTAGCATTTGTTGTTGCTGTTTATTTGCTAAGTCCCGTCTGACTCTTTGTGACTTGATCGTCTGTAGCCCACCAGGTTCCTCTGTCTGTGGAATTCTCCAGACAAGAATACTGGAGTGGGTTGCCATTCCCTTCTCCAGGGGATCTTTCCCGACCCAGGGATTGAACTCAGGTCTCCTGCACTACAGGCAGATTCTATACCACCTGAGTTGCCAGGGAAGCCCTCATCTACACAATGTCCTCAAAATTCACCCATGCTGTAGGCTGTATCAGAACTGTCCTTGTTTTAAAGGTTGAATAATATTCCATTGTATGGACGTGCCACGGTCACTTTATCTTTTCTCCTACTGAGGGACACTTGGGTTGCTTCTGCGTGTGTGCATGCTAAGTCGCTTCAGCTGTGTCCTACTCTTTGTGACCCCATGGACTGTACCCCATCCAGGCTCCTCCGTCCATGGGTCTCTCCAGGCATGAATACTGGAGTGGGTGGCCATGCCCTTCTGCATGAGTTGCTTCTACTCCCTGGCTAATAAGAATAAAGCTGCTATGAATACGGGTGTACTATCAGAACTCTGAATAATATATTATAGCTTGACTCACATTCATTCTCTCGTCACCCTTGGTTTTCTTGGTCCAGTGGTTGATTCATCTAAAGCTATAAGAAACCTGAAACCATCTGAACTGTTGTCCCTGCACAGTCTATGTTTTAAACTATTTAAAAAAAAAACAACTCCACGAGGTTTTTGTTGAGGGAGTTAAACATTAGATAACTTACGGTTTTATGGTTTGGGAGACACGGTTACTTTCTTTTTTTTCCTGAAGAATCATCTGTTTTATCTCCACTTGACTTTTTTAAAATGCTGGAACAGTTTTTTGATTGAACATGAAGCTTTTCTTTCTTTCTTTTTCCTTTGACGTTTATATGACCAAAGGTGGAAAAATAAGACCTTTGCTTATTAACAGAATGAATCAGTCTCTTTCCCTCCTGGGAAACTGAAAACAATTTGGAGAAGAGAGTAAACTTCAGACTTCCTGTGATATGAATTGGGTGGACCTTTCCTCGAGGTAAGATTTAAGGCGGACCTAGCCGGGCTTGACAGTGATGGAACCGGTATCACCATGTCACATTCCAATTGGATTGTTCTTTCCAACTGGATCCACCTGGCTATCAACAATGGTACAGCCTCTTACAGCATCCCCAGGGGGAGCACAGCCGAAGACTGTTACTCTGTTAGCAAAGGTCACCCAGGGAGATATCAGCCCAGAGCCTTCATGAGGCTGCAGTGGACACCTGCTCCCACAGCACATTCTTGAAGGCAGTGGTGGTTTACTGTTTGGTTCTTTCTTCCTTTTTTCTTTGTATGTGTTAGATGTGTTTGGGGAAACTCCCCCCAAGACTGGCGCATGGTTCACACATCCTTTGACTGTTTCACACGTTCCCTCTCTGGAGCTGGCGGCCGGGAGTTTCCAGCCAGCCTGAACTGGAGCCATTGGCCAGGGCATGCTGTCCACGGCCAGAGTTGTATCTGGTAGCATCTGGTACTTGCCCAGAAGTGGGGCACAAAGAATAAACAAAGGAAAGAGACTGCCTTGTAAACTGGACTGCAGAGCTGAGAAGATACTTAGAAAAGTGGCCTCAGGCCAGCTCCTACTCTCTCCAAATATGCCAGGAATGCAGGGCCCGGAGGAAGGGGACAAAACAGTGGAAAGAAGGAAAAAGCACACCCCATCACCAAGGCCACCCTTCCAGCTCCTTGTCTAGCTGTCCAAACAAAGCAAAAAGATGTGCCTCACCCCAAATAAAAGTGTACTGGAACTGAAAAGCAATTGTTAGTACAGTTTGCATTTATATTGGGCAAGCATCTCCCCAAACAGATCTCTGAATCTTTTTAGCATCCCCCTTTTGGGTGAGGACCAGTAAAAGTGAGGATTTATTGAAGCACCTACAGGGAGAGAGAAGGGCTGAGATAGAAAACTTCAGTTGCCAGGGAACTGCTTGGAGCTGGAGATTCTTTCTCAGTTTGAGATGAAGATCAAGACAAAGGACAAAAGGTCAAAGGGGGGTTGGTCAGAGAACAAAACAAAAACAGGAAGTGGCCGACTCAGGGATTTTCCATGGAAGGCTAGGAAGCATATCCGGATATGCCTTTTTCTCTTCAGAAGGAAGAAAAAGGGCACCTCTGAATCTCCTGGACGCCACTTGAGATGTTGGGAAATTGGGTTCTCAGCAGACCCCAGCTTGATGGAGGCCCGGCTGGTGATCAGGACACCGGATGGGAAGCCAGAGCCGTAGACTCAGCGCTGGCTCGTCCTTGGCATGTCACCAGGTCTCCGGCTGCCTTTGTTCTTCCCTTCTAAGGAGACTTCTTCACCTCTTGAGTTCCTTAGAGCTGTTCCTGTGTGTCCTGACGAAGTGTGAAAACGGTCTAGAATAACCCAGAAGCACATCCTCACCTCTAAGCAAGCATTCCCAAAGCATATTTGGCACACAGATGGAAAAACATACGTGTTACCTGCCTGTTGCTATTAGGGCTAAATGACTCAGTCCTTTTGCTACCAGATTTAGAAGAGGCTGTGTGATGTGGGGGGAGGTGATGTCTGCTGTCCTTCTCATCTTGAATTCTGCCCTTTCCTTCCTCCATAATTAGGGCAGAAGCAGGCTTCTTAGACCTTCTGGCTCTCCCTCCATCTCTGCTTCCTCAGAAGTCAGTGGGTGAGGGTCCGTGGGGCAGGGAAATGACCCATCCTGGGTGAGGGTCCAATAGAGAAAATGTCTCTGTCACTGTTGGTAAATCTCCTCTTCTGTACAAGAGCAGGGATGTCCTGGATCCAGACCCCGTCCTCTGGGCAGTGGTCCCCGAAGGGCCCCACTTAGCACCACGAGGGAGATGTTGATTTGAGTTGAAGAGGTGTGTTTTTTATTTTTCTTTGCCAAGACAGGAGGAGATGGGGAATCTCCAGTTCCTGCCTGGGCTTGTTTAGTCTTGAGATCTTGTTTTACTCCCTAGTAGATCAAGGAAGTCAGAATTTTATGGGAGAAGAGAAGAAGATGCCAGAGGGTTTCCAACACCCTTTATGCAAATGAGCCAGGAAAGCCGACTGCAGGCAGCCATCAGAGGTCAAAGGTCACACTCCACAACTCAACAATTATTTTGCTCCAAATGAAGGAGGGGAGCAGGGCTGCAGGAAATGAGTTGCAACTACCTCAATTCATGTGTGAAAGTTTCCAATTAGGAATTCAAAGGGCTTGTTGTTTAATGAAAAAGTGAAGCAAATTCCTTTTATGTGTTTCCCAATCTCCCTGGTGGTCCCTGTCGAAGAGCTGGATCCCGCTGCAGGAATCTTTCGGTTCCTGACCAGAAGCAGAATCTGAAATAAAGGAAAGGTCATTGATTACTTGGCTTCTGTTGGGAGTGGGGTGGGATGGGGGTGGGGGGTGGGTAGGCATGGTGTTGGCACCCTACTGCCTGGGCCAAATCTGTCCCACAGCCTGTTTTTGTCAATAAAGTTTTATTGGAACTCAGCTTCACCCATTTGTTGGTAGATGATCTGTGATTGGTTTCGTAGTACAAGGGCAGAATTGAGTAGCTGGGACAGAGATCATACAGTCTGCAGAGTCAAAATATTTACTTTCTATAAAGCTAGTTTACAACCCATGTTCTAGTTCACTGGTTCTTCCAGCCACCCCCTACCCCCCATTCACTGGCTCTTAATGTTTGATCTGCAGTGGGTCCCTTTGGAAATATATGAAAGTCTATAATCCCGTCTTAGAAAAATATTAATATATGATCTCTTGGTGAAAAATAGCTAGATGTGGGGCTTATCTGGTGGTCAGTGGCTGTGACTCTGTGCTTCTACTGCAGAGGGCACAGGTTCGATCCCTGGTGGGGAACTCAGATCCCTCATACTGCATGGCATGGCAAAAAAAAAAAAAGGAACACGGGGGACCCAGTTCAGCTCATCAGAACTCAGGAGAAACAATCCAGAGCCCAAAGCCTCCTGGCAGAATGGTCCACAGTAATACCTTCTACCAGAAAGAGGACCGCAATTTATCTTGGCCAGATACAGCCTGTCAGGGACACAGGCTTACTTTTGGGCTTACTTACTTTTGCCTTACTTTCAGTTTTAAAATGAAAACAGATACATAATTTTCTATGACCATAAAAATGCTTCATGTTTCTTGTCAACAATTTTAAGAAGTAAAGAAAATATGGAGAAGGTAAAAATCACATTGAAATCCACCTCCACAGAGATGAGCACTGCTAACAACTTGATAAACCTTTCAGGTGTCTCTTTAAGGCCTACGCACCATCAACAAGTCCATAGATGGGCTGCACATATTCTGTCTCCTACTTCTATCAAAATCATCCAGGCGAATATTATTATTAGGGACTTCCCAGGTGGTGCTAGTGGCAAAGAACCTGCCTGCCAATGTGGGTAGACTTAAGAAACCCAGGTAGAGACCTGGGTTCGGTCCCTGGGTCAGGAAGATCCCCTGGAGGAGGGCATGGCAACCCACTCCGGTATTCTTGCCTATCCTATGACAGAGGAAGCTGGGGAGTCCATAGGGTCACACAGAGTTGGACAAAACTGATGATCCATGCGAATATTGTTCTATGGCTTTGCATGTACATTTCCAACACCAAAGTTGCATAGTACTTTTATTTATTTTTTATTTTTTTAAATAAATATTTATTTATTTGGCTTTGCTGGGTCTTAGTTGTGGCACACAGACTCTTTCAGTTGTGGCATGTGAGATCTAGTTCCCTGACCAGGGATTGAATCCAGGCTCCCAGATTTGGGAGCATGGAGTCTTAGCATCTAAGTCTTAATCTTCCATTGGGAGGTCCCAATGATTACATAGCATTAATAGTTTATTAAGTGTGGTATAATTCACTGGCTCAATCACATCTAGGTTGTTTCCTTTTTTGATTTTGTTTTGTATTTATTTACCACACGGTGATGTGACTTTCTTTGTACTTACATTTTTGTGCATTTTCCTGAATGTTCAGCTGAGGCTAAATGTCTAGTCTTGAAATGAAGGAGTCAGTGTTACTCATTAATAATTGTAATACACAGGATCAAACTGCCTCCAAAAAATGTGTAACACTCCACGTCCACCAACAGTATAGGGCAGTGCTCATTTCTCACTCTCTGGCCACCGTTAATATTTAAGGTTTTAGTCAATCTGATAGGTTAAAACTGACACAGTATTGTCATGTCGATTCGCATTTCCTAGGTTGGTTTACATTTTTTTTGGCCGTGCCTCTCGGCACTCAGGATCTTAGTTCCCTGACCAGGGACCGAACCTACACTCCCTACAGTGGAAGCTCGGAATCTTAACCGCTGGACCTCCAGGGAAGTCCTAAGATATTTTCAAATGGCATTGTCTATGATTGAATAGAGGCAAAAATAATGACTTCAATTAGGTTCTCCTTATTACACAAGAACCTAACACTGGCACGAAAGCAGACTTACTATTCAGAGGAGCCAGCTGCCCAGCACAGGACAGTTTGATGCTCTTTGAGGATGATACTCTTTCATTGGTTGATTTATTCATAGGATCACTGGTGACTACTTTCAGGTGCTTACTGAATGGCATCTGGAAGGCCACATGGTTTTGGTCATCAAGAGGCTTGGATGACAGGGATGATCTTTGTAACATCCTTGCAAGAATGCTTGCAGGCAGAGAGCCGACTCCCATGTTCTGTTAGTGATTCCACTCTATGCTGCATCCCCATTTCAGCTTCCCCCCCTTGTTTGGCTGCTCAGGCACTTTGCTTCGGCATAAGGACTTTGTCAGTCTCAGCACGCAGGCTTAGTTGCCCTGTAGCAGGTGGGATCCTAGTTTCTGGCCCAGGGGTCGAATCCGGGTCCCCTGTACTGGAAGGTGGAGTCTTAACTACTGGACCACCAGGGAAGTTCCAGCTCCCTGGGTCTTGAATGGATCTGCCCATTTCCCTCCCTCCCAGGACTGGAAGATGACAGCTTCACTTTAGCCAATACAACCAAGAAAGCCATAAGAACAAAGTCAGAAATGCTGCCTGGAACTCAGTGCAAGGGTGGGTCAGAGAGTGGAGGACAGCCACGGCAGACGATGGAGGAGACTGAGTCCCTGGAGTGGCAGCTCCGTCCCCTAGTCGCCGTGGTGGCCTCAGGATGCCCAGCCGCGCCAGAGTCAGCTGCAGGATTGCTGTTCCTTCTAGGTCTGCTCCTCCGTGGTTTCCTGCCTGGCTGAATGGCCGTTGCTTCGTGGTGATGATTCATGGCATTTGGAAAGTGTGGCTCTCTTCTGAACAGGGAAGTGAAAAATAACCCAGCCAAGGGCAGCACAGGGCAGAACGGAGCCGTCACAAGACGCGAAGCTTTACTTTGGAAAATGAGGGTGGCGGGGCACCTCGGGGAAGTGGGTCCTGGTGGTTCAGCCCTGCTAGCCCTTCTGCAGAGCCTCAGCTTTTCCGAGCACTGGTCACTGAGCTGCCCCTCGGAAGCGGCTGCTGGCCTTGGCCCAGCAGCTGTGGGTAGAAGGAAGTGGACGGGTGATTCAGTGACTGTCGGCTTCCTCTCTGACTCAGGATTGGATCCGTTTTTTAGGGTGGTGCCAGCGGCCCTGGGCCACCTTAGCTAGAATCTTTGGAGTCAGAACAGAGGCGCTGACCCCTGTGGTTGCTGGCTTTCCCCGACCCTTTGGGATGGTAAGGGGATTAGGCTGAACTCTGCGCCTCCCTCCTCGTTGGGTAAGCCCTTCTAATGAGGCCTGCCTGTGCTTCCAGCTGAGAGAGACCAGTGAGGTGGGGAGCAGAAGCCTATCTGGGTCTGTGGCCATCTAGGAGGCTTCCTTGATTTGGGGGTCATATTTGGAGGAACATTTGGGTTCTGAGGGGCTTGGCTTTGGCAGGTGTCAGATGTGTTGAACTAGCTTTCATGGAGTCCATCTGTCCCTCAGTGATACACAGGGGCCCCGCTGCTCCCTTCCCATGAGCAGAGTCATAATCACCTCCATCCTCTGTGTTGCTTACACGCCGTCACCACCATCACTGAATCCTGTTCTAAGAAACGCTTTAACTATCCAGATCGTGACCTCAGCCTGAGAGTGTCCAATCCTGAACATACTGACTTGATAAAGACGTAAAAATCCTCTCAGAGTTGCAACAGGGGTTCTGTATTTCAATGTCCTAAACAACCTTGGATGATGGTCCCTTCTTCTCCTCTCCTTCCTCTCCTGTTCCCATGGCCAAAGCTGAGGACAGCTGGTCTTGCTTGGGCAGGATGGCCAGAGTCCACTCCCTGGTGAGTTTCATGGGGAAGCTATTATTAGCCATATGAAAGAGAAATGCAACCCAGATCACTCGGGGCTTCAAAAAGGGACTCTAACGATGCCTGCAATGGGACCTGACCCTGCCAGGCACTCTCATCTCTTACCCAATCTTGATCTCATCTTCCACCCCAATATGGATTTCAATCTCTTTGATGAGCTTTCTCTACATGGCTGGGAATGTACACGATAGCAGCTTCTGCTTATCATGCCTCCCAGCTTCACTGCTAGAGAGGGACCGAGAGTTCAAAAGCTCCACCTGATGGCCTTTGCTGGGGTCAGATGATAGTCCCCGGTTCCATCTCTGTGGCCGGGGGAGGATTTCTGAGCAGGAGGCTGCCCACATTTGGTTGCTATGATCAGTTCAGGGGTGGCAGTATTTTTCAAAGAAAGGGGCGCCCGACCTAGGTAGACAAACATTAGGTCCACTAACCCTGGGCACTGTAGGCTGGGGTCCTGGGCCACTTCGCCTCTGCTTGTGGGGGCTGCAGTGAGAGGCCTGGCCAAGGGGAGGAGGTGCCTTCTGAGCCCTCAGAAACCATCATTTTACTGCTTGAAAATCCATAAAAGATGGGGGTTTCCTCAACCACATTTTTCTGGGGGGGATACATGTTTGGGGCCACAGCTGTGTGTGATCTTCTGAGGGGACGGCCTTGGAGGCTCAGAGCAGAGTGAGAAGAACAAAGGAAACGTTCTGAGAAGCATGGCAAAAATGAAACCAAATAAAAACCCCATAAAAATCCCTCCGAGGGCAGAGGAAATACCAACCCAAGGCTTCTGAGCCACAGATTCGGTAGTAAAAACTGAAGGACAGGCCGCTCGGAGGCGATCCCATTGGGGCCAGAGGGAGAATGTACTGGAACACAAAAACAGGGACTCATCCGAGCAGCGGAGGACCGCTGGGGTGTGGGTCTGTGTGCTGCAGTTCAGGAACTGACTGATGACCAGGGTTCATGGGGAGCCCGACAGACACAGGCCACAGGAACCGGTTCAAGGGCTGCTTGCAGCGGCCTCGATCAGATGATGGACAGCCGGCCTGCCCCCTGCAGGCTCTGACTGACGGTCCTGGGAACTCTGACCTCCACTAGGCCACAAAAAGACCTGTTGAGAAATCTCTTTGAAGACTGATTAAGTAAACAGCCACAGTGCAGATAACAATAATTGTGTGACGCGGCTGGGGTGCTTGCAGCCAGGAGAAACACGTGTTAATAATGACTGGGACAGGAGTCTTGCCTTTCTGTTCCTCTACATTGACTTCCTGGCTCCTGGTCTCAGTTCTGGGCTCAGAGAGCATTTGCAGGGGATGGAGTTGAGGGTGTGGAGACTCTCACTCTCACTTCACAGGTGTCAACATCCCAGGGATGGTACCCCACCTGTCACTGCATGGCAGCTGGTGGGCAGGTGGTCCTCCTTCCTGCCCTGGCTAACCTGAGATGCTGCTCCTGGGGGCTTTCCATCTGATTTGTGGCCCTGGGGCCACTGGAATTATAGCAGGAGTGTCTCCCCAGGTCTCCCCCGGAGCGGTAGGCTAAGCATGAAGAAAAGTCTGGTTTTCATCTGCAAGCATCTCTGAGAACATTGATCCTATTTAGTTTTAGCCAAGAGCTGGTCAGACTCCCCTGGACAGGGAATAGAAGCCCCCTTGCCACTTTGCTTCTCTAATGATCTCTGAGACCCCTTTGTAGATGGAGGTGGGAGTGGGCTGCTGGCTCTGGACTCAGTATGGTTATGTCTAATCAGCCCTCTGGGCTCCAGCAGCAGTTTTGATGTTTGTTCATCCCATTCATTCATCGTTGATCCATCCAGTGACTCACTCACTAGGACTGTCATTTAGTCATTTAGCCACAATGAGACTGTATCTTCTTATCTTTGGTCCCTGCTGTCTGGCACGGCTCCAAGCCCATGGTAGCGGCTCTGTGCATTTGCTAACTTCCTTTCTGGCCTCACTTTTGTGGAAATCCTAACTTCTGGGACCTCAGAATGTGGCTGTATTTGGATGCAGGGTCTTTAAAGAGGGGATTAAGTTAAAATGAGGCCGTTTGCAGTTTAAAATGAGGCTCTGATTCAATCTGGTTGGTGTCTGTATACAAGAAGAGGTTAAAGGACTCCCCTGGTGGTTGGATGGCATCACTGACTCGACGGACGGAGTTTGAGTAAACTCCGGGAGACAGTGAAGGACGGGGAAGCTTGGCGTGCTGCAGTCCATGGGATCGCAAAGAGTCGGACGCGACTGAGCGACTGACCCACCACCACAACCTGGCGGTCTAGTGGTTAAGACTCTGCCTTCCACTGCAGGGGGTGCAGGTTTGGTTCCTGATTGGGAGACTGAGATCCCACATGCTGCGGTTCAACGAAGCCCGTGTGCCACAACCAGGGAGGGCCCCGAAGAGCTCCGAGGAGCCCTGAGGAGCCCCGGCACTGAAACCAAGACCTGACACAGCCAAAAATAAATAATGTGTTTTTTTTAAAGAAGAGATTAAGACCCAGACACACACAGCGGAAAGACGGTGTGAAGACACAGAATGCAGGCGTCCACAAGCCCACGAGAGAGGCCTGGCACAGATCCTTCCTTCATGGCCTCTGGAAGGAACCAACCTTGCTGACTCCTTGATCGAGGGCTTCCAGCATCCAGTCCTGGGAGGATGTACATGTTTTCTGTTTAAGCTACCGGGCTGTGGTACTTTGTTCTGGCAGCCCCAGCAAACTGGTACAAGCTTTCAACTGAGCACAGGACCACAGGCAAGGTGTTCCAGGAGGTCTGGAGACAAAGCAGAGAAATAGATACAGGGAAACGGGAACAGCTAGGGGCCCATCCTCTCTATACATTTTCTCCTCCCAAACCCTCTCTACTATGCCTCTCCTTCCCTCTACATCCAACAGAAAGAGGAAACACAGGGGGAAATGAAACAGAGGGTTCCCCAGCAAAAGGACTGGCATCCTACAGAAGCTCTGTAGGAGAATTCATATAGAATCAGAAGCACTTTTGTCTCTTTGTTTTTCACACAATAAAGAAGTTTACTTCAGTCTCATATCAAAGAAGTCTAGCAGTAGATAGCCTAGGACTGCTTTAGTGGTTCTACATTCATCAGTATTCCATGTTCCTTTCTTTCTATTCTTAGAATTTGGCATCCTTTGCAAAGAACATCTCTTGGTCCAAAATGGCTGCTTTAGCTCTAGCCATCATATCCTCATTCCAAGCCACAAAGGATAAAGCAGGTAAATAAGTCATCTTTGCTGAGTTAACTCCTTTTAAGCACTCATCCAAAAAGTATTTTCCATGTGTATTTGCAGAAGTGCATTTTTTTTTTCTGGCTACCTCTGTCTCCACCATCCTTATTTGGTGCATGTAAGTATATGCACATGGCCAGCCTGAATGTGTGTGTGCATCT